CAAGAAGGCAAAATCAAGTATTATAATGAAATGTGCAAAAACCCAGAGTTAGAAACCAAAAGGGAGGAGCCTGCTTAGCATTTGTCAAGGTGCAAAAACTGAAGAAAAATTCAAACCTTGAATTAAAATATTGAAGGACACCATGGGCAAATTATTGAATGATGCATAAAGCATCAAAAAAAGATGAAAGGTATACACAGAGTCACTGTACCAAAAATAAATGGTCAACATTCAGCTATTTCAAGAGGTAGCATATGATCAAGAATCAGTGGTATTAATGGAAGAAGTCCAAACTATACTGAAGGTATTGGCAAAAAACAAGGCTCTAGGAATTGATGGAATACAAATTGAAAATTTTAAACAAACTAATGTGGCATTGGAGGCACTCACTCATCTGTGCCAAGAAATTTGGAAGACAGTTGCCAACTAATTGGAAAAGATCCATATTTGTGCATGTTCCAAAGAGAGATGACCCAACAGAATGTGCACATCATTAAACAATATTATTAATATCACATGCAAGTAAAATTTTGTTGAAGATAATTTAAACATGGCTGCAACTACCGGAAACTCAAGCTGAATTCAGAAGAGGATGTGGAACGAATCATATCATTGCTGCCATCAGATGGATCTTGGCTGAAAACAGAATACTATGTTTACCTGTGTTTTATTGACAGTACAAAGACTTTTGATTGTGTGGATCATGACAAGCTGTGGATAACATTGTGGATAACACTGGGCATTATAGAACATTTTATTGTACTCATGAGAAATGTTTACATAGACCAAGAGGCAGGAATTTGAACAGAAAAATGGGATAATGAGTTGTTTTAAATCAGGAAAAGTGTGCACGCCAACCAGGGTTGTATTATTTGACCAAATAATCCTAGAGGCTGGATTGTATGAAAAGCATGGCATCAGAATTGGAGGGAGACTCATTAATAACTTACCATATGCAGAGGACACTTTCTGAAAGTGAAGAGTACTTAAAACATACTTACTGATAAAAATCAAAGATCATAGCCTTCGGGATGGGTTGTACCTCAATGTAAAGAAAACAAAATCCTCACCACTGGATCAATAAATAACATAAATGGAGAAAAGTTTGAAATTGTCAAAGATTTCATTTTGCCTGGATCTATAATCAACACTCATGGAAGCAGCAATCAAAAGCTGAAAGGACATATTGTCTTAGGCAAATCTGCTGCACAAGATGTTTTTAACGTGTTCAAGAGCAAAGGTGTCAGTTTGAGGACTAAGGTGCTCCTTACCCAAGTCATGGTATTTTCAGTTGTCTCACACACAAGTGCAAGTTTGGCAATGAATAAGGCAGGTTGTAGAGGAATTGGTGCATTTGAGTTGTGGTGTTTGGGAAGAACATTGAAAAGTTCTATGAACTGTCAGAAGAACAAACAAATCTGTGTTGGAAGAAGCACAAGACTTTATCTCTCATACTTTATTAGGAAGGACCAGGAGAAGGACATTATGCTTGGTAAAATTGAGGGTAGAAGAAAACCTGGAAGACTCCCGTGAGATGGACTGGCACAGTGACAGCAGCAATAGACTCAAGTGTAACAATTGTGAGGATAGCATAGGGCCAGGCAATGTTTCATTCTGTTGTACGTAGTGTCACTATGAGGCAAAACCAACTCAATGGCACCTAACACAAACACACACATCAGATGAAGTCATGGGCTTCTGTTGAGGACCAAGTCATTCTAATCTAGGCCTGCTTAGGCTCTTACTCGGGGGATGAACAGATCACCTCTGGGATGGAGGGGCAGGGACTAGGGCAGAGTCTGCTTTTAAAGTGTTGTTGAGTCAGCTCCAATGCATAGCAACTCTGAATAGAGTTTTCAAGGTATAATTGGGTTTAAACTGTGGACCTTGCTCTTAGTAATCCATTGTTTATCCTACAGTGCCACACCAGGACTACTATTATAATCATAAAAGTAAATTAGATCTTTGCTGGCTACTGGGATGTGTGTGTGTGTGGGGGTGGGGTGGGGTGAGTAAGTGGAGGGAGGGGAAGGTGGGGCACAGGGCAAAGAATAGAAACAGGATAGTTTGGGTGCTAGGGATGGGGGCAATATGCAAGAAGGGGGAGAGGAATGAAAAACAAAGCAGATGGGAGAACAATTAGACAGGTTTGCATGGGTTAAGTGGGACAGAGGTAAATAATGATGTTTGTACAACCTTGGAACAACAGGGTTCTGTGATACAGGGATTGAAACATGGTTGGAATAGGGAAAAGGGGGGAAATAATGTTAAGATGCTTGGCTGTCTTATGAATCTTGGTTTCCTTGACATACCATTATAAAATAGACACTTGAGAGGAAGAGAAAGGAATAGGCAGAAATATCACCATAGAAAGCTTGTAAGTCCATCTTCTGCCTATAACTGATTGGTGGTGGTGGTGGTTATGTGCCATGGAGTCAGTTCCAACTCACAGCAACCCTGTACAAGGTTTCCGAGGCTGTAAATCTTTACAGGAGCAGAAAGCCTCATCTTTCTCCCTCAGAACAGCTGGTAGTTTTGAACTGCTGCCTTGACGTTCACAGCCTGATTCATAACCACTACACTACCAGAGCTCCTTTATAACTGATTGGAATACCTAAAATGGGGCTACAACATGCCCAGTGAAGGAGGCTTCCTGTGGAGCCTCTGCATTACATAAGACCATAGGTAGAATCCTGAACAACATCCAGAATCTTCAGAGGTGTTAAATTTCCACTTGAAAGGACAAGCAAATCAGTCTGGAGCAGTTAGAACAGAAGGTACTTCTTGAAAGAAAGACTGACAGGAAAAATACAAAACAATAAAGGCAGATAGACTGATTACTACAAGAATAAGCAAGTTGCTCATCCAGGAGACATCAAGGCAAGTGGTCAGGTCCCCCTTCCAAGACTAAGACTCAGTGGGAAAACATGCTCTGGTTGGGGACCACGTTCATCACCAATAAGGGGGAGTGAGGGAAAAACATCAGTGAAGGTGCAAGCTAAGCCCTACAATGTTCAATAAACTCCTGTGAACGCATGTGGAGACCTGGTTGGCCAGCAGTGTGGCAAGACCTGGGGACTCTTGGACCCAGAGTCAGTGACATAGCCACAGAGGACTAGAATGGAGAGTGGAGCATCCAGCTGATAAGAAGAGAGGGTATATGCACAAGAATACCCACACTTGCAGATAATACCCACTTGACCTGGCTTCAATGACTGGATGATCAGAGCTCAGCTAGAAGAAGAAAGAAGAGGAAAAAAAGAGTAATCTGATACAATTTGATGAACTTGACCTATACCTCTGGATGCAGTAGCTCAAAAGAGGGAAGAAATCTTTACAGCAAGGATCATTCCCACCCCCTCCATACACAGATGGGCAACTTGGACATTGGCTACCCAAAATGGGGGCACTACAAGGGCAAGAAGTGACTGGCGTACAGGCTTTCAAGAGGGAATCTAGATCCAGAGTACATGAAGGAAGGTAGAATCTCCACTGAGTAGTATCCAATCTGTCTAGGTGGGGCTGATGAAAGGAGATGGGTATAGGTCTCTTATGATATAATAGTGACTAATTGTTACCAGGACTGATTGTGAGGGTTGTAAATGTAAAGGTAGACATTTTGTAGCAAGAAAAGCAGTGATTAACATTGCAATCTAGGAGCAGAGGTCCCTGGGACCATCAAGGGAGAAGAGCGGTGTGTGGGACCCTACCCAGAGAAGCCGTGATGCCAGAGATGGAGGCAGAGATGATGATGTGGAGAGATGGAGCAACTGGGGACTTTAGACCCAGAGAGGGAGAGGGGCTGTGTGCTGACGACCGGGGGGCAGGCTTGCAGGGTATATACCCTGTGGTTGGTTGATGATGCATGGAGGGGATTGTAACCATGGCAGTGAAATGATATACTATAGGATGAATGTAAAACTAATGTTCTTCCATGTAAACTATCACATAATTCACAATAAAACATTTTTTAAAAAGTAAATTAGAAAACAGTTTTTGATAAAGGACACGAGGGTAAATTGCTATAATTCAATGAACTTGACTTATACTCAAAATACCAACAGAGAGGCAAGAAGTCTTCACATCAAGTTTCAATGTGATCCCCTCTGTATAGGTAGATAGGGATGGGCAACTTAGACCATTGGCTGCCTAAAATGAGGGGGGTTGGTGATAAAGGCAAAAAATGACTGGCTTACAAGTTTTCAAGAGGGAGTTTAGTTTAAAAGAGTGTTGGGGAAGGTAGAGTCCCCACTGAATAGTTTTCAGATTGTCTAGATGGGTCTGGTAAAAAGAGATGGGGATTAGAGTCTTATGATTCAATAGTGAGAAATTGTTATCATGACTAATTGCAACTATCACAATTGTAAAGGTGAAAGTTTTGTAACAAAAACGGGGGTGTAGTTAATCTTAAAGTCCAGAAACAGAGGACTCTAGAACCATCAAGGGAGAAGAGCACAAACAGAATGCAGGACGATATTCAGAGAAGCGGTCACACCAGAGATGGAGGCAGAGATGGGGACATGGAGAGAGGGAGCAGATGAGGACTCTAGATTCATTGGGAAGAGAGGGACTGAGAGCTGGCGGCCAAGAGGCAGACTTGCAGTATATGCCCTTTGGTGGTTTAAATTATTATATATGCCTGAGTGTTGTTGTGTTTTTTTTGTGTGTGTGTGTGTTTTTTTTTAAAAGAGCTAAAATGAATAGCAAGAAATACTGTTAACTGATGGTACATGGAGGGGATTATAATCATTGTCATGAAACTAAGTATATGTTTTGTTGAATGTAAAACTGATGATCTGCCCTGTAAACTTTCACTCAATTCACAATAAAAACTTGGGGAAAAAAAAAAAAGTAAAGTAGACGCAACCAATCAGAGTCCAATAGCTTGCACTCTGGATACGAGGAAGTTCTGTGTCTGGTTTCTGAGGAACCACTGCCACTACTGCTGGGCTTGAGGCACACTGATTCCAAACTGACTAGAGTTGTATTCCTCCTTGCAGCTTGAGTCCAGAAAGCCTTCCTCTAAAATAAAGCGAGAGAAAGAGAGACAGAGCTGCAAGAGCTGCAGGGAGACCTTCAACTCCATCACCAAGAGGAGACACCACTGCAAGCAGTGTGGAGCTGTGAGTGGCAGGCACTGCCCATGGAGATGAGGAGGGAGGAGGAGGGAGGAGGAGGGAGACATGGAACTAGAGCCACCTTGCATTTTTCAAATGAGCGGAGGCACAGCTCTGTGAGCTTGTGAAACAGCTTCCTCTGAAATAGAGGCTCAAGACATTACCTTGGTCAGCTCTGAGTCTGAGACACTCAGTGTGCTGGAAATAGTGCTAGGTAGCCGATACTGCCAGCTACTGACCAGGTGGGCTTGAGTCAAATGGTAACACCCATAGCTTCCAGCCTGAGAATCTGGGAAGAGATACAGGGAGGTAGCTGGCAGCCCAAGGAGGGAGCACCAACCAGTTGGCATTGACTGCCCCTCCTCATTCACCCCCAAAACTCTTTTGCCCAAGAAGACCTGTCACTGATTTAAATATTTTTAGATAAGATAATTAATAATTGAACATTATGTTAGCAAGTAGACCCAGTCCTGAGCTGGCTTGAGGAGAGGATAGAGCTATTTCCCAATATTGGCCTGGGCCTTGCACAGTGCTCCTATCTCACCCTTCATAGAGTAGAACTAAGCCAGAGAGATGGATGGAAATTAAACCCCTCAGTGACTATTCCAGACCTTTTACTACGCCGGCTCCACCTCACTCCATCCACTAGCAGGTTCTCCCCATGCCTTACTCCCTGCCCCACCTGATCATTTGCTTCATTTGGTCTCAGCAAAATCATGGAACTCCAGCAGTGCAAGTGCCCCGACCCCTGGATTCCACTGTGATCCATCCTTTCCTGCCAGACTAAAGGGACCTTAGGAGTAAAGGCCGTGAGCCATGTGGACTTTCCTGACCTGTCCATTCCAACCCCTCACTCTTGGTGGGGGACGGGGTGCTCTGTGGGTTATATGTCCTAGCCATGTCAACATCATAGTTGTTCTTGGTATACATGGCCCCAGTGCAGACTCCACACTCCTCCTAGGTCTAGAGAGTTGGGACCACTTTATTTTTTATCAAAGCTTGTTTTCCTGTGGCCTTCCCCCCAACTCCCATGCCCTGTGAGCAGAAACCTGCTCCACTTACCTGGAACCCACAAGAGGACCACACTGATGAGCTTCCTCCAACCTTATTCCCATGCACACAGCCTTGGGCTCTTCTCCCATCCTGCCCTGTCATGGCCCTTCTTGTTCCAACACTTCCAGACCACAGTGTTCTGTCCCCAGTAGCTGGGGTCACAGATGGTCTCTCTCTTGCAGGTCATCTGTGGGAAGTGCTCTGAGTTCAAGGTGGAGAACAACAGGCAGAACCGAGTCTGCAAGGAGTGTTTCCTGATCCTAGCAGGGGACCCTGCTAGCCCCAGCACTGAAGCACCCATCGAGCCCAAGAAGGACACCGAGGTGGGCGTAGGCCACAAGGGCCCCTACAGATGTATCCTCTCTCCCTCAGCAGCCTCATCAGGCTCTTGCTCCCTTGGGCCATGCACAGATGTGGGGTCTCTGTGGGGTTCACAGGTCCCAGGGAACTGGATGAGTCTCTAGAAGTAGGACTGTGCTAGTCCCTGGCATAGCTTGCAGGTCATAGAGTGTCTGTACCCAAGAGTTAAATGGGAGACAAAGGTCACTGGGATTGGAAGGCATGGCTGGGAGTTGCCCACCCAAGGGGACATGCTGCTCATCCTCAGCAGATATAAAGGACCTCCAGCATCTGTCCACGGGCTCCTCCTCTCTGTTTCTTTCTGAGGGTGGGTCCCTTCCCAGCCCTTCTTTCACACAGGTATAGTCCAGGACAGTTGGTTAGGAGATAAAGTGGTTTTCCACACAAGAGAACTCTTCTCTTCTCACATGAGACAGTCTTGCAGCTCTTAATGCTTGCTGCATGCTTCGGTCTCCTGGAAATTCTTTAAAATGACCATCTCCTACCTCTAAGTTTCCCGTTCATGGTGTATGCATGTGTGTCTGTGGTGTGTGCACATGTATGCAGCTGTGGTATGGTGTGTGTAAATCTGGTGTTGTGAGTCTGGTGTGTGTGAGTCTGATGCATGTGAGTCTGGTGTGTGTGAGTCTGGTGTATGATATACAACAAATTGCAACAATGCCACAAATCCCTTTACCTTATAAACACACTTTAGTATTTTCTGTTCTATTTTTTTTCCTATTACATTTTAATGCTTATCTTGACCCACTCCATTTATTCCATGTCCCCTTTGTGAGTCCAGCCTGCAATTTGGGAAACCCCATTCTATACCAAGTGGTCCTGGACCTTGTAGGGCTCTGGATTGTGTTTGGTACCTTCTCACCACGCACCTCACACAGGCCTCAATCATGTTTCCTCAGGTTTCTAAGGCCTGTTACCTTCCTGGCAGCATCCTTACGGAGGAAGAGTACAGGTGAGGAAGCATCTTAACGTGTTCACTCTGTGTCCACAGAAGCCACCTGCTTCAGATCCCCAGAACAGCTTGCTCTGTGGCCCCCTGCAATTGTCAGAAGACAGCAAAGCCTGGAGTGAGGTGTGGGCCAGCATCCCCACAACAGATCCACAGGTGCTGCACCTGCAAGGAGGCAGCCAGGTGCATCTCCCCACCCCCTTGGAGGGCTGCGCTGGTGGGAGAGGAGGTGGGCTGGGCCTGAGTTGGGGAGGGGAAGAAGATCCTGAGAAAAGCCAGTGTGCTGAACTCAACACTGAACCACACTGCTGTGACAGGCTGGCTTTGCAACCTGGCCAAACCAAACACAGGGTCTCCGCTTCCATAGCTAGAGACCTCACTACACATGGCAAGGACTAGCCATGCCTGTAGGTTCTGTAGGGAGGGACATGACCTGGCCAGGGTCACCCGGCTGGGCCATAGAGTTGCCTCCCCAGGCCAGGACTATCCCCAACTGTTCTCATCCCTTCTAGGATAACCCACCTCTACCCCACACCAATTTTGCATGGTGTGCCCTAGAAATGGAGCTGTTGATTGAAATCCTAGGAGTGGTTCTGTACTGGCCCTACAGGCCTTACGCTCAGCAAACCTGGCCACAGATGTTCCCAGTCCCAGGAGGGTGGCCAGGTGCCAGGCCTATGCATTGAGTTTTGACTCAGGGTCTGAGTCAGGAGGCCATCTTGGTGGAGGCATCTTTCTGCTGGGTTTGGGCCAAATACCCAGCATCCTCCCTCTTGATGGGCTGGTTCAGCGACACAGTGGCTCATAGGCTCAGGGCTTCCAGCTGCACCTGTCTGAAGGCCTGGAGCCTGAGATTATCAGGGACTCAACCCTTATCTTCCTGATACTGGCCCACTTTTTTCTCACTAAATTTACTTTAAAGGGCATTTTAAAATGTTACTCTCCAGAGATAGGTGGTGATACCCAAAATGGGCAGTCCAGAAACAATGGATCACTGAAGGCTGGCTTGGTCCTGGGACCCTCCCAGCAAAGACCACACCCACAGCCAGGTCCCCCTCCCCACCATCTGCATGTCCAGAACAGGGAAAGCCCAGCATTCTCTGGGCAAGGTGGGCTCCAGTGCCAAGTGTACTTTTGCCCAGACAATCCTCTCCTTCCCACACCCTGAAGCACCATGATCACCAGACCCCTCAAGGAAGAACAGGGCATTCATTCATCCCTTCATTTACTGGCTCATCCCTACTGGTGGAAGTAGAGGGGTGGGGAAGGGTGGGAGAACCCACACTGCCCCCCATCCAGGCATAGGCTGGGGCTGGCCATTTTTAGCCAGCCTCCTGTCCCAGCCCACATCCAGGAAGGTTTCTGTGGCTGACAAAGAAAGGGCAGTTGAGTTCAGGTTCTCTCTGGCAAACTCTGTGTCCTGCAGAGGGACCCCTGTATTCGCAGGTAGTCCCTGCTTGCTCTCCCGTGGGGCTGGGGGCAAACCAAAGGTGGTCAGGGACCCTGCATCTGCATCAGGTTGAGCAGGGCATGTTCAACCTGGGCACCACAGCCTGTGGTCTCGTTCTGGGACAGCTGGAAGAGGAGAAAGGGCCGCAGCTGGTCCAAGGCAGGACGGGCATCTCACCAGTCCACTGTGGGCATACAGTGGTGGAATGGGCTACAATGGTGGAGGCAGTAGGGTGGAGGCGAAGCCTGCTCACCCCATCTCTCCCTGTTGCAGGATGGACAACCATTCCGCACCATACCACTGCCTGGCTGCAAGGTGAGCATCCCAGACCCCGAGGAGGCGCCTGACACCAGGCACATGCTAAAGTTGCACCACGCACACCTGTGCCTATACCTGGACACCCAGACCTCGGAGCTGCAACAGCGATGGCTGGAGGCCCTCAGTGCTGCCACACATGGGGACCTGGCACCAGCCAGCCCTGGGACCCCCCACACCTCGGCTGAATGGATACAGAGCTCTGCGATTTGAGCTTTGGGCCAGCTTCAGGGATGTGGGCCAAGCCCCCCGCCTGCCCAGTCCTGGTCTCCGTGGTGCAGCCTCTGGGTGCTGGTATGGAGTGCCATGAGGAACAGAAATGCACTCTAGCCAGGTCACCTCCCACATGTACATCTGCCCACCATTCACACTCCCACATTCTCCCCTGTGTTTGCCCTACCAGGAGAAGGACATTGGGACTGACGGACCAACTTAGGTCACTAGACCAGACCCAGTGCTGGAATACCTGGCACTGTAGGCGCCCCTATTTTAGAGATGAAAAACTGAGACCCAGAGAGGGGCAGTCACTTGCCCAATATCACCCTGTATTGTATGGCTGGTGGGAAGGGGTAAATTCTCCATAAAAATTGTCTGAGGGCCATGAGGCAAAGTGCAAAGGGGTCAGCATGGCAGTGCTCCCAGTGATCTGGGTTCTTCCTAAGACCCTACTCTACTGGTGGACAGTCTGACAGCCGGTTATCCAGTGTCCACAGCCACTTTGCAGGGCAGGCCGGTCCGTGTCCAGCTCCTCTGCCACCTGCAACCTCTGCTGTAGTCTCCATTGGATGAAGCTGAGCATGAATCTGGATCCCAACTTCTCTTGACTCAGGATCCTTCCTCTGTCCTTGAAGGCTCACGGTGGAGGCAGGGGCTGCAGGCTTGTGTGTGTGTAGGGGAAGTTGCCCCCTCCTCTACCTCACAGCGCAGTGCTGGGATGAAGTGAGTGGCCTCCTGCTCCATCCAGATGCACTATCTCTGCTGCCTACAGGGGTGGGGGCTCTGAGCTCACTTGCCTGCTCTCTAGGAAGCATTGTGTCATTGATACCAATAAAAGGTGGCAGCCAGCAGGCCAGCAGTTAGCAGAGGGGCTGTGCAGCCTCAGTTCTTTATTGCCCCCACAAGGTGGTCCCCCACAAGGTGGCCCCATTATGGGCAAGTGTGGTGGGCAGACAACAGAGTTGGTATGGTGGTGAGTAAAAACCAATTCATTTCATGTTCACAGTGAAAGATGGGATTGGAGCTCAGAGGGGTACTCAGTCTGTCACTTCAAATTGCACAGTCAGCAGGTGGGGAGAAGGAGAGGGAAGTGTAGGGGCTTCACAATCCAGGCCTGCAGGTGCAACGTCATCTGCTGAGGGGTCTCCAGAGACTTCCTGGTGATGCAGGGGCTCTGAGCTATGGGGGCTGGATTAAGCTCTGAGTCTGCTGTGAGGTAGACAGGAGAGGTCATCTTGAGTAGCCAGTAGACACTCAGGTTAATGATGCACCGTGTGAGGTGTTGGGGAATGTTAGGAAGGCCATGGGGGTGAGTTGTGTTAGCATCAGAGTCCCCAAGGCCTCTGGGAGAAAGAGTGGGGGTGTTTAGGGATGATGGTGGAGCAGTGTCTAGTTGTTTCGGAAGGCAAGCCCTTCTGGAAAGGGAAGGTGGGCCCTGGCACCTCCCCAGCAGCGTAATACAGCACCACACAAGGATACCTGTCTGCAGGGTGGCCTCCACCCAACCCTGAGTAAACTAGGGCCTCTGACCTAGGGACTGAAAGGGTTGGGCTGGGCTACTGGTCACAGGTGCGGGGAACAAGACTCAGGCCAACTTATGAAGATCCCCCGCCACCCCTGTGCCTGTGCTGGCCATGTCTTGCTATATACTTGGGCCTCCCTACTCGTCCTATGGTGCATTTGCACTTTACACCTGAACCTGAGGCTGGGGGAGTGGAAGCAGTTCTGCCCTGGTCCTGAGTGATGGAAGAACCAGGCCCTTCCTGCCTGCAGGAGGCCTGGCCCAGCTCTAAAGGAGTCCTGAGGGTAATGGTGGTGGTGGTGGTGGTGTGACCTCTAGCTACTTCAGCTTCTCAAGGAAACAGGAAATGCAGCCAAACCACTTGCCCAGCTCTGACCCACAACCCCACCACCACCAACAACACCAACACCTCCCTTGTCTGGGTTGAAAGTGAGCAGCAGTCACTGCCAGCCAGCCCTCCCACTGGCTCTCACACACCGCTAAGTGCTGGTGTACTTCCGGCTTTCCCTCACCACCTTCAGGTTTGCACTGGAACTTGTCCATTCATTCATAGGTGCCCAGAGGGAACTTCACAGGGAATGAAGTACCTTTTAGAGCCTTGCCTCATTCCTGCCACCTCATCACAACCCCTAATGTTCCCTCTCCCTCCTCACATTGGACAGAGGCAGACGCCCTGCTGAGTCCCCCACCAGCTGTAGGTGGGGCTGAAGGGTGGAGATGATCCAGAGGCAGGGTCTCCCAGAGCCCTGTGGGCAACCTACATGGAATAACATCAGCTGGGGCAGAGTGAGGCCCAGAGACCACCCCTTCTCAAATTCTGTGCCTACCAGGAGCAACCTGAGCTTCCTCCCTGAGTCACCTCAGGAGGGTTCCCCTCCCCCATGTCTTCACTTTTTGCCCCCACGGCAAGGCAGGTGCAGTGCCACCTCAGCAGCTCAGGAATTCAATAGAGCACTGTCATCTCATCACTGTCAATGAAACCAGTGTCCAGCTGGCATGGTGAGGGGGTCTGGTCCCTTTGCCCATCCCTTCCCCACTCTCTCAGGAAACCTGAACTATGTACAGAAGATGATGAGCTCTTCCTTCCTGGAGCTGACAGTCTGTCTGTCAGGGACACAAGCAGGTATAATATCACTAATGGTGGCCAGGGTGGAAGGAACAAAAGCATGGTAGTGGAGTGGGGTTGGCAGGTATGGTGACCTGGAGTGAGCCCCCCACCATCCATCAGGTCTCTGTAGGAGGGGTTCCACTGCTCTGAAACAGGAGCCAGCTCAGCATATGACAAGGGCTCAGGCTGTGTCCTGTAGGGCCTGGTCTAAATGGAGCTGGGCGCTGATGAACAGAGGAGGAATGCCAATGGCAGGGCTCTAACAGGTCCCATGGTGGGGATGTTGGGGTGAAGCTGGAGACAGGAAGGAGGCCCCTCGGCCCCAGCAGGACCACCCCCAGGTCCCTACAGATCTATCAAGCAGTTAGCCCGTGGCACCCTGGCCAGGTAAGGAGTCCCAGCTGAACATGCCCAAGGGCAGGTGTGACCTGTGTGTTCAGATCTTCCAGTGTCTCAAGAGGCAAAAGCAATCCAGGTGTTTTTGTGAAAGAACCTGATTTTTTAAATATTTTAATTCTGTCATCTGACACATGTGGTCCAGAGCAACCTTAGGTGGGCCATGCCTAGTGGCCGGCCAGTGTGAAGGGCCTGAAGACAAGTCTGTGGGTGCAGGACAGGCATGGAAGGCACTTAGTTCCATATGACTGTGGACTTGTCTTACCGTGGGACCTGAGGTAGGCAACCCTTGGGCCTTGCCCAAGATATGGTGAAAGCAACAGATCCAGCCCCTAGGGCTGTCCCTTACAGAACATCCAGATGCCAGGCAGGCTGCAAAACTGGCCTCTTCTCTCAAACCATCCTTGGGATGCTTTCGCAGAACAGAAAGGTAGGACTCAGAGAAGGGCTTACACAAGTTGCACAGCATTCAAGACTGGGCTTGTTGTTAGTCCAGCAGCCTGCCTTCACAGGATCCAGCCATAGAGGTCCCTCAAGGTGGAAAGCATCTGCCCCCTCATGCTCCCTGGAGGAAAGCCGCTGAAAGGGGGCCCAGTCTCCCTGGATGTGGCAGGGTGCTCCCTGAGCCTGGGCTTCTACTCCCACTCCATTGGCCCCACTCTGCCTCATGGGCACTCTCCATTCCCCTATCCCCGCCCCCCTCCCCACCAGGTGTAGGCACAGTTTGGCTCTTGGACTCTACCTCCTGTACCTCCCTTCTGAGTCCCCACTGTGCAAGCAGAGGAAGCCATTCTTCAGGAGAAGAAGATGGAGACCAGTGGACTGAGCTAAGAGGGGTGGCTGGGGCCTCTGGACACGAAGAACATCAGATGGGACAGGACAGGGCCTAAGGGTGCCCCAACACCACCAGAGACAGGGGTCTGGTAAGGGACTCCTCTGCCCAGCTTGCAGCCTGGAGTACCAGGTGCCAGATCCAGAAGTTATGTTGAAGTGTGATGCTTACCTGTAGCCGAAAGATTTTTACAGAAGTGAGAGTAGAAGAGACAGAAGAGAGGCAATTACAGGAAGAAATGAGCCAAGAGGTGCTGACTGGCAGAGATCCTGCATGGTGGTCAGAGCCCAAGCTCCTGCCATGGGTATCAGGTGACCACTGACAAGCTTACCTGGGCACATGTGTGCCCCCACTAGGGCCAGGGAGGTCAGATTCTTCTTCAAGCCACAACTCAAAGGGCAATGGAAGCCATCTGGGCGGTAGTGAAATTGAGGTCCAGAGAAGGAAATACAAGGTTCAAGATCACACAGTGAGCTAAGGGTTAAGTGAAATTTATGCATTCACACATCCATTTGTTCATTCACCAGGCATGACTGGTGCACTTACTGTGTGTCAGGCACGGTGCTAGGCACTGGGTACAGCAGTAGGTGAGGTTGGCCAGGCCCTGTCCACCTAAGTGTCCATGCCCATGAGAGAAACAAATCGCTGGATGCCATGTGGATTTGTGGGACTAAGGGGGTTGGACAATGCCCTACAGACTCTGGCCCTGCTCACACTTCCCCCTTGTCACCAGGCTCCAACCACACAGGCCTTCAGAACACACCACGCTTGTTCTCACCTTTGCAAATGCTGTGCTGACTGCTACAGTTTTCTGCATGCTACCTGCTCCAGATGCCAGACAGATGGACCCATTCCCAAGACCCTTTTCACATTAACTTCTCTCTGGGTGGAGGAATCCTTGGCTCCATTTTACAATAAAGAAAATTGAGGCCCTAAGGGGAGTCCCTGTGTGGCAATGTAGGATAAACATTGGACTGCTAACCACAAGGTTGGTGGTTCAAACCCACCAGCTGCTCCTTGGAAACCCTGACTCAATGTCACTTAACAACAACAAAAGGGGCTCACATAGCCTCCTCCTTCTAGTCCAGGGTTTCTTCTTCCAATCCAGTCAGAGTGCATGACTGGAGGTTGGTTACCTAGGGTAGACCAAGGAGGTAGGCAAGGTCAAGGCAGGCCTTGGGGGAGCAGCCAGACCCTGTCCCACGTTCTGCCCATTCCTGCATGGCCTGGCCCCAGGACCTACTCCATCCGCCAGCTGACTGGGGGTGCTAAAACAATGTCCTGCTTGACAGGCACAGTGCTCTGAAAAGGATGAGGCACTTAGCAGGCTTTAGAACACAAGGGTATAATAAAACTTCTAACAACAATGACCACCCTGTACCCCAGGTAACATCCGTGTGACACCTTCCCCTGCTTGTAGAGGCCATAAGAAGCCCACCCTCAGTGGCATTCCTGAGAGCATGCAGTAGGTTCCTGGGGATAGGGCGCTCTCAGTGCAATATCCCAACATTCCCCTACTGCCATTTATTGATGCCCCACACTGCCCCCAGCTGGATTCAGGCCCTCTCCAGTCAGCAGGCTGACATGAAGTGCTCCATGGGGGCTCAAGGACAGCAGCAGAAGCCACTTTGAAGAGAGGAGTTGCTGGAGGCTGGATATAGGCCATCTGGGACCCAGGAGCCCAAGGTTATGCCCCTCCCTCTGCTATGGATGTGGTTTTCTCAGTGCCACTTCTCAGCTCCTCTTCCAACAGCCCTGAATTTCTGGGAGGCCAAAGGTTTATAGAGAAGCAGATTCTGCCCTTGATTTCAGTTGGGGCTTGAGATAAGAGCTGGGCCAGGTGGCCCAGGATGACCACTCCTCTGGCTCAGCTTGGACAGCCATCTTGGAACACAAAGACTTCTAGTAAAAATTCTGATCTCTGACAAGGCCCATAATCTGCTAGATCAAGCGTCATCTACAGTAGCTGTGTGAGTGAATGAATTTCATTTGGAGTAAGATTTTTCTATCTCCTGCACCTGAAAACATGGTTAACTGCTGCTCTTCAACATGCTGCCCTGGCCGTACTTCCCTTCAGCATCTCCAAGGCACACAAAACCATTCTTTAGTCCTACCACCCACTAGAAATGCAGTTTAAAAACAATTTTTATTTTGTTGTTGTAGCTGAGAATTTGTTGCTGTTGTTAAGTGCCGTCAAGTTGGTTTCAACTCACAGTGACCCTGTATAGGGCTTCCAAGGAGCAGCTCATGAGTTTGAACCGCTGAGCTTGTGGTTCAAACAGACCTTGTGGTCCAGTGCTTTATCCTACAGCGCCACATTAAGTTGAGAATATGTGTGGCAAAATATACAGTAATTCAACAGTTTCTACATGCACAAGGCAGTGATATTGATGACATTCCTCTAATTCTCGCTGCTTTCTGAATTGTTCCTCCCCTGTTAACATAAACTCACTGCCCCTAAGTTTCCTATCAAATCTTTCTAGTGGCTGTGGTCAATTTGGTCCCACATACATCTTAAAAAAAGCACGACGCTCAAGGCAGAAATTCTTTACCCACTCATTCTCACTCACTGTCATGGAGTTGGTTAGAGCATATAGTGTCCCTGTATAGGACTTCTGGGGCTGTAAATCTTTATGGGGCATGCCCCCTCAGAGCAAACGCCCTTCCAAGACTAAGACTCAATGGAAATACACGCTCTGATTGGTGACCACGTTCATCACCGATAAGGGGAAGTGAGGGAAAAACAGCAATGAGGTTGCAAGCTAAGCCCTACAATGTTCAATAGGCTCCTGTGAACCCGGGTGGAGACCTGGTTGGCCAGCAGTGTGGCAAGTCCAGAGGACTCTTGGGCCCAGAGTCAGTGACATAGCCACAGAGGACTAGAATGGAGAGTGAAGCATCCAGCTGATAAGAAGAGAGGGCATATGTACAAGAACACCCACACTTGCAGATAATACTCGCTTGACCTGGCTTCAATGGCTGGATAATCAAAGCTCAACTAGAAGAAGAAAGAAGAGGGAAAAAAGAGTAATTGGATACAATTTGATGAACTTGACCTACACCTATGTCTACACTTCAAAAGAGGGAACAAGTCTTTACAGCAAGGATCATTCCCACTCCCTCCACATACAGAGTAGACAGGGATGGGCAACTTGGACATTGGATACTCAAAATGGGGGAAGGGGGGGCTACAAAGGCAAGAAATGACTGGCTTACAAGCTTTCAAGAGGGAACCTAGATCCAGAAGGCATGGAGGAAGGTAGAATCTCCACTGAGTAGTATCCAATCTGTCTGGGCGGGGCTGATGAAAGAAGATGGGTATAGGTCTCTTATGATACAATAGTGAATAATTGTTATCAGGACTGCTTGTGAAGGATGGAAATGTAAAGGTAGACATTTTGTAGCAAAAGGAGGGGAGTGATTAACTTTGCAGTCTAGGAGTGGAGGTTCCTGGGACCATGAAGGGAGAAGAGCAGAGAGCAGGACCCTACCCAGAGAAGCAGTGATGCCAGAGATGGAGGCAGAGATGGAGCAGCTGGGGACTTTAGACACAGAGAAGGAGAGGGGCTGTGTGCTGACAACCAGGGGGCAGGCTTGTATATCCTTTGGTTGGTTGATGATACATGGAGGGGATTGTAACCATGACAATGAAACGATATACGATAGGATGAATGCAAAACTAATGTTCTCTCACGTAAACTATCACATAATTCACAATAAAACATTAAAAAAAAATCTTTATGGGAGCAGAAGTCCTCTTCTTTCTCCCTTGGAGTGGCTGGTGGGT